ATTTTCCATTAAAAAAAACACTAGGCATCGGGTGGCCCAGGCAGGCCAGGCCTCGGGCCGGGCTTTTGGACCGGTCTTGAGCAGGCCCATGGGCCGGGCCGGGCTTCAAAACGATGGCCCAGGCCCAAGGCATCAGGCTGGGCTTGGGCTCGGACCTAAATGGGCCTTAACGGGTCGGGCCCATCTCGGGCTACGCGACAAGTTTTGGGCCGCCCACGGGTCACGGGCCAAAATTACACCCCTACCCTCTGGGTTTTGAGGAGTGTTTTAGGAAGCAAATAAAAAGCTAGCTTTTAACTTTTTACTCATTTTACGTCATATCACCTTTCACATTTTTTATCTATAAAAAGACAAAATAAATTAAAAAAGTCAAAAAATTAATTTTTTACGAACTTTTCAAAACACTACTGAGTCTTTTTTATAAATGCCAGTGTTTTTGAATCTGGATCTTCAGCGGTGGAATCTTGAGATACTTCCTACCATGCATCCAAAATGACGTCGTTTTAACAAATTTTTTTTTTCTTTTTTTTCCCTTTCTTTTTCCAACTTCTTCTCAGACCCCATTGCCGGTCACCTTGCCATCGCTAGCCACCACTGTACAACCCTTCCTCTTCCTCTTCTAGCTCTTTCTTCTTCTTCTTCTTCTGTTTTTCCTTCTAAAAACTACAAAACCCAAAACAAATTTGCAGAACAAAATCTGAAACTTATGAACAATCAACGAAAATCCATTTCCTCAATCTTCAATTCCAGAACAAATTTGCCAAATCTCTGAAACATTTTTGCACCCATCGATCAATTAGGCCCCAAAAAGAACCATTCTCCACATAAAATCAAAGAGAGTATCCAAACCCAGTACAGAAAGAACAACAAACAACTACAATACTTAATATTTTCCAAGATTTTCAAACATGTTGATGTAAAGTTGAAGGCAGAAATCAAGGACACAAGCTCAATGACGTTAGTAGTGAATTGGGTCAAAAACTCATTTCTTGTTGATGAATTTCTCAATTGATTTCTGCCTAAGATCAAGTGGAGAGAGAGTGGAGAAGAGAGAGAAAAAACAAAACGAAGATAACTGGATGGCACAGCCGTCACCCTCCTCTTCGTTTCTCTTACTGCCGTCACCCTCCTCTTGACTCTCTGTTCTTACTTTAGGACTAGGTTCTCAGCGAAGGGGGAAAAAAAAAAATCCAAAACGACTTCGTTTTGGCACCACAGTAGGAAATGCTGCAGGATACAACTGTAGACAATCTAGACTCTTGTCGAGCTGTTTTCCTTGGGCACTCACTGACAAACTGATTTCAAAGTCTTACAACTACCGATAAATTTTTATTTATTAATTTTTATCTATTTTATTTTACCCATGTGTTAACACAAATTTCACAAAATAAATAAAGATTAAGCGAATGTGTGTAGTTCAAATACCTTGATGAATTCAAAATTTTATTTGGTTTGGAACTATCAGAGAATAAAGAAATTTGCAAAGAGAAGAATTTAAAAGGAAATTTTATTAATGAAGTACTGAAATACATTACAATTAAAAGTTTTTTATATGTATAAAAAAAAAATACATGAACTAAACTAAACTACAAGCCATTTGTAAATTGGGCAAAAGGTGTTCTGTTTTTCCTTTCCTTTTATAGCTCTTCTAGGCTAATGATTTGGGGATTTTTGGTGAGACCCCTTTTTTTGGACCTTTTTTTAAGATAAAGGACAACTCAATGAATTCTTCTTCAAAAAGTACCTGAGTAAGAGAAGCCCAGCTCAATAAGGACATTCTATAATTTGTTTTTTTTTTGGACCATATTGGCCTCATATATATATATATATATCATATATTTAAACAATCTCAGCTCATACATAAAACAATCTTGAAGATGATCTATAAAGTGAAGATGATCTGCGAAATCCATGAAGACGATCTCAAAGTCTGAAGATCTCACCACTGACGATCTCACCCTTGGTCAACAATACACGATCTCGCCATCCAAGATCAACACTCTCAATTAAATGAGAGATTACGTTGCAAAGCTGTATAAATCTGTTGTTATTTTTGATTTGTTTTTGTTGATTTGCTGAGTTCAATCAGGTGTGTACTCTATTTTTGTTTGATATGATGAAAGTAAAATTTTACTCTGGTTTGTGCTCTGTTTTTGTTTGACAGAATGAGAGTAAACTTTTACTCTGGTTTGGGCTCTGTTTTTGTTTGACAGAATGAGAGTAAAATTTTACTCTGGTATGTGCTCTGTTTTTGTTTGATAAAATGAGAGTAAAATTTTACTCTAATGTTATCTGTTATGTTTTCTTAACATGCAAGTAAAATTTTACTGTATTTCAGAGTAAAATTTACTCTGAATTGAAAGTAAAATTTTACTGTGTTGTTGAATGTTCGTCTATACAGTTTCTGATTTATTTTCTGGTAAAATTTACTCTGAATCTTCAGAGTAAAATTTACTCTGAATCTTCAAGTAAAATTTTACTTTATTTCAGAGTAATTTTTTTTTTTTTGTATTTCAGAGTAAAATTTACTCTGGATTGAAAGTAACATTTTACTGTATTGTTGAATGTTTGTCTATGCAGTTTCTGATTTGTTTTTTAGTAAATTTTACTGTATTTCAGAGTAAAATTTACTCTGAGCTTAAAGTCAAATTTTACTATGTTGTTGAATGTTTGTCTATGCATAAGAGAATAAACTTTATTTTTCATTAACCAGAGTAAAATTTTACTGTTGCGAAAACAGAGTACATACTAGATAAATGAATTATAGTCGAATTTTACTTTAGATTTATGAACAAACAAACAAAAAACTCTCAATTTTTTATTGTAATATATCAATTTATCATTTTTTTGGACATATATAAGGTCATTTTATCTTAAATCTGAAACTATTGATCTCAAACATGAGTTCATAGGCATCAAATCTGAGATGGTGATGGATTTCAATGGACGATTTCAAGATTTCGATTTTGTAAGATGGATCGAAAATGGAGATCAAAAGGGTTTAGGGCTTAAAAAGAGAGAAAATAAAGGGAAGAGAGAGGATACCAGTAATGTGGAGATAGAAAGGGAAGAGAAATGGTTCAACAAAGGTTTTGGATTATATGAAAGGGCATTTCAGACTTTTCATCATATTTTTTTATTTGAGGGACTTTTGAAACTATTATTTTATTTGGTGGGCTTCACACAAAAAAGCACCCATGGAAGGTGCTTTTCACCAAAAATCCCAATGATTTGCCATAACCACTCCATCATAGTATGAAGAGGCTATAATATACACTCTAAAAAAAGATAAATTATCAATATATCTTAATAGTTAGATTTAATTTTTACTAAATTTTATTGAAAATAAATTTTAGTAAAATTATCGTTAAAAACAATTTTTTGTGATGATTTTTACATATGTTGCTAAATTTGACAATTAGTGATTTTTTTATAATGATTTTTATAAATTGTCGCTAAAACTTACGATTAGTGACTTGTGATAAAATTTTTAAATTATCGTTGAAAGTTGAAAATTAACGACGTTTTTCTATAACAAATTTTTTAAACTGTTGTTAAAATTTATAATTAATGACAATTTTTAAACTGTTGCTGAAAATTAACTATTAGTGACATTTTTTAATAGTGTTTGATAAAAAACGACATTAATTCTTATAAGATCTATTGGACAATAAATTTATCTATTAAAACTCACCTGTAAGTCGCCCAAAAATGTACAAATGATATGTCTTTCATAATTTTTTCATAAAATTTTACAAAAAATGTAATATAAATCACAAAATATAATAACAAAAATCGCAAAGTATGATAACTTAATTATTCATACTTTTATCACAAAATGACATAACATAACAAACAAACATAATTTTCATTATAAAAAGTTATAATTTTGTTTCGAGGGGTTCACAATATAGATTTCTTCTATTTAAAAATAAATAAAAACATTATTATAATTACCATAATCGTGAGAATATAGGTATCTTTCTAAAATGTGTGTATGTGTCTAATTCTCCAGTCTCTTCAATTGGTACAAAGTTCTAATATATACTTCTTATATTTATAGCGTTACTCATTAAATAAATAAATAAACCAAAATATAAGTCATATTTGACATTAACAATTCAAAAACTCAACAACTAAGACATAAAATAAAAACCATCGCACTACATAAGTATTTGTAATTTGGGTGAAAAGATTAGGAACCCATTGCAATAGGTTAGGTTTTTCAAAATTGATCCTCCTAACAAGTGAGAGTTCTTTTTGGTAACCTTAAAACATTCAATATTGAAGCATGAAAATTTCATTAGTTCTCTCTTTAGTTTAGTTTTTGGAATTTGTCTTTGAATTTTAAAAGTTTATTTCCGCCTAGAAAAGAAAAATGCATCTATGAGTTTCACTACAACAAAATGTACTTTTGGCGATTAAAAAAAATTTAGTCGCCAAAACTTGTGAAATTGGCGACTAAATTTTTTTAGTCCGGAAATATTGATTATTGGCGACTAAAAAAAATTTAGTTGCTAAAAATAGCATAATTGGTGACTAAAAAATATTTTAGTCGCTGTATATATGGTTTTGGCTATTAAATTTTTTAGTCGGCGAATGAAAAATAAAAAATTACTTTCAGACTTTGGTCGCCAAAAATTTATTTTCAGTGACTAAAAAATGTTTTTGTCGCTGTATAACTAGTTTTGGTTGCTAAAATTTTTTTGTTGCCAAATAACAAATAAAAATTTATTTTTCATCTTTGGCGACCAAAAATTTAGTCGCCAAAAATTTATTTTTAGCTACTAAAAAATATTTTAGTCGCCAAAAAATTAAAATATTTGAAGGGAAAATTTTGATTTTTGGCAGGATATATAAAATTAATCAACGACGAAAATGTTTAGTTACCAAATTACTGCTTTTAGCTACTAAAATAATATTTAGTCGTTGTTAATGAAGGTTTTGACTACTAAAAAAAATTTAGTCGGCATCGGTCAAACTTTGTCCTTAATTAGACTACTCTGTCGGTCCTCTCCCATTTCGCTCTCATCATCCCTCTTCTCTTTCTCTCACTCCATCGCAGGCGACCCTCCTACCAGCCACAGTCCACCACTGTTGCACACGAGCACCCACCTCCTCACCGGCGACGGTACGACCCACCTCCCCACCAGCGATAGTACCACCCATGTCCCCACCAGCAATGGACAGCAGTAGCTACTTTCATTTGTGTCTCCTCCAGCGCACACCAGGTATTTCCGGCCTCTTCCTCTCTCTCTCTCTCTCTCTCTCTCTCTCTCTATATATATATATATATATATCTTCACCCAATTTCTAGGATTTTATAACAAAGGATTTGTTTTTTATTTTGTTTTTTTTGGTTATAAATCAGAGGGTTGGAGAACAAAGGATTTGTTTTGTTTTGTTTTTTTTTTTGTGTTAACGGTGGTGAATTTACCCATTTTAACAAGTTAAAGTTCAAATCGGATTCGATTGGAACTAGAGATACTTTAGCAGTGAAGAGGACTCTTTTGAAAAGGAGCTCTCTTCTTCTCCACCAAGCACAAGGTATCACTTCTACACACACACACACACACACACACATATTATCTGAATTGAAGCAATTACTTTTCTCTTCTTTGAACAATTCTCGAATCTCGGTTCGCAGATCTGTTATATACACAACACATAATTATAACTACATATGAGTGTACACTGTTGATTACAATTCAAAAAAAATGATTTTTATCCAAGTTCAATTTCATGCTTCAGTGACTTTCTGTTATTATTCACTTCATTTTTTATGATAAATTTAACATTTTGATGATGAGTTGGTTGTACTGGGTAATTCATTCACTTTTGCGTATTGTTATTGTTGATTCTTGAATTAAATTATAGAGAGTAAAAGCTATGGGTGGACACGATGATTCAGGTTTGTGTGAGAAAAAATCAATTGGGGTTGTGAATGATGTCCCAACTTTCAATGCTGAGAATACGCAGAACAACATGAAAGCTGTCTATTATAGGTTTGTTTCTACACCTCCCTGCAATTGCTCATGATGAACAAACAAAAATAAATTGACTAACTTGGCTGGTTAATTGCAATAAATTACAATTATATGACACGTTCCAATATGGCTGGAATGCATGAAATTAGGGGTTTCCTAGGCAACTTCGGATAAGATGCATTGGATTTTGGCAACCGGTAGACGTGTCCACAGCCTATCTATTGTGGATACTAGATTTGGTGTTTTGCAATCATTGATCATGCTATGTTTTAGATTTCCTAATTCAATATGTGGGAATGAACTTATTGTAAAATGCATTTTGTTGTGGTTATACTTTTTGTGAAGCCAAATTTGCACCTTCTTTCTCCAACGTAAGCCAAATTTGCTTGGGTTGTTGTGGTTATACTTTTTGTGAAGCCATGTCTCACGTCCTAAGATAGCTGCGTTCTGTTTTCATAAAAAGGAAAGCTATGTGAAGAATGTAGGATGAGACAATAATGAAACCTATGTTTTAAAATAGATCTAGTGCAGCATAGAAGTTGATGTTGGGAAAAAGACTTTCATAGCTGAATTGGGATTTAACACATTGTTGAGTTGTGCAATTCTGATTGAGAACCATCCATGTTCTAACTAAGAAAATTGTTATGTTTTCATACTTTCCTTGTTCACAAACTTGTTCCGCCAAGCATTGTTGGTTGATACTAAAAGCTGAGGTTTGTCTATTTGTGCAGTCAAACATTTATGTGTATTATTGGTGGAGTCATTGCTGGAATTTTGGGATTTACTGGGTTGATTGATTTATCTTTTATTTCCTTGTCATGGCAATTACTTCAGTAGGACTCATAGCAAAGGCGGGGTTTTCCATCCATTCATACTTTGATTCCTGGAACCAGATTATATTTGATGGCATTTTGGCAAGGCTTATGGTATGCTTCTCTATTAATTTTCCATTATTTATTTCAAGTTTATTTCTTAAAATGTTTCCCTTGATTCTTACTTTCAAGACATTGACTAAATTTCTCACTCTTTGGTACGCTAAAGGTCTATGATTTTTGCTTCATCCTTATTTGTATTTTTAGTTTTGCTAAAATTATATTCCATGTATTCAGCGATGCTCTCTTCCATTTTAGAGCTTCTCTTCAAATGATGGTTTATTATTTGCTCCTGTTTTTACTATTTCAATTAAAATAATAACACTATTAAATGAGTGCATGATGGAACCTACTTTGAAGTAAAAAGCTAAGAGCTAAGCCATAAATTTAAGATAAAGGGTTTGTGAAATTGCGAGTTTACTTGTTTTCCTTGTGGCTCGTCCTACTATATTCATAGATCTATGTTTTTGGGTTGGAAGATGCAATTATGAAGAACCCCATCGCCATAATTTTTGGGGGATCCTTATGTTATGATGATGCATGTGTACTTTAACAGCATTTATTCATCACTTTGTTTATTTCCTTTTTTTTGTTAACTGGCTAACACTATTTTGGTTTTTTTGCAGTCATTCGTGCTGTTTTGGACGTATCCTTTTCATAATTCAGAAGATTATGCACAGAATAACTAAGAAAATTAAGAAAACACAAGTGCAGACAGAGTCTGAAGACCCCATGTAAGGATGATGCCAAGTGCATTGTTGGTTGATACTAAAAGCCAAGCATTGTTCCTTGTTCTCAAGGTGCATTGCTTTTTCCTTTTTGGGTGGCAAAGTGGTATATCTTCATTAAAGTGGAGTGTTTCCATTTCCCAAACCAGAACTGCAACTGAGTGAGTGATTTTCTTCAAATTTTATTTGTTGTCCACACCTTGTGTAGACCAAAATTAATTTAAATTGCCAGAGTGTTTGCTCTTATCTGTTAGTCGCAATGTTCCTTGTCATAGCAATATTGAATAAGTGGAAGACGGGTGTCACACTTTTGGACGTGTCACACTGTTTGTTGTACTTAGGTTCTCTCTTACTCTCGGTCTCTCTCTCTCTCTCTCTCTTGGGTCTGTCGACCTCGGTCTCACAAAAGACCCAAATTTTTGTTTAAAAAATGAAGGGCCTAAATAGTTTAATTTTAACCTTTGCTGTATTTTAGTAGTTTAAAAATAAAGTTTTACCGAAATAATTATAAAAAAATTGATGTGGTGAATTATTTTGAAGTAATAGATATATCCCTCTCAATTTATCTCTTCTTCTCCTTTCCCCTTTTTCATAATTTCCCTCATTGAATCTTATAGTATAGAAGTGAATTAATGGTAAAATTAAATCCAAATACGCAAGTAACAGAGTGTGCAATCATGTGGTCAATTATTTTATTGCTTATAAACAGTAAAATATATACTTATTATTTGCACTTTTGTTCCTCTTTTAGTTATAGTGAATGGCTCTAAATTGTTATTATTGAGGTGCTTGTTAAAAACTCTTTAGATTTAGTTATGATATTTCACGCCATGTCGTCTGATTTTTTATTTCATTTCAGCACCCAAAAATTGGAGGACCTAGTCTTGTTGGTGGTTGCGAACTGTCTAACGGATACATTGAGTATGTTCTCTTGTCCTCTAGTCATATCTTATATATTTATTCTGCAATCTGCCATACTGTTATGTAAATATATGTTTTAAGATAATGGATTCATGCAGAACATTGTCATTGCTGCTAATAATACAAAATTTGCCCATGCACTTGTCCCTCATTTGACTGACAAATGAAAATTGGGAGGCGATCATATTCTTTGATATTTCTCATCTTTTCCTTCAAATATTATTTAATTGATAAATGAAAATTGGAAAACTCCATTACTTTCTTTGAAACTTAGATGAATTTTTAATCTTATTTGCCTCTCCAATTTCTGTCTGGTATTGCAAAAGGGAAGCTCAAATGTAATCTCACTTTTGTAATCACAATCGTACTCATGAAAAGTGGTGTAATCTCACTTCTGAATCAAATTCCACATGCATTAACTTCTCATTTGGCACTCACTCAGCCCACTAGGAATATTTATGGCTTTACCATAGTTATAGCCGAATATGCCCTAAATTTAGTCAAAAAAGGGCTTTCTGGGGGAGAAAATTCAAAACAGCCCCCGAACCACCGTGTGGCTCTCACGGATAGCTTTTCCATGACAAATAGGACTTGTGACAACTGACGAAATGTAATTCGGACCAATAGGTTGGGAGTTAGAGCCGAATACACTCTAAACTTAGTCGAAAAATGGCTTTCCGGGGGCAAAAATTCAAAACAGCTCCCGAACCACAGTGTGGCTCTCACAGACAGCTTCCCCATGACAAATGGGACTTGTGACAATTGACGGAATGTAATTCGGACTAATAGGTTGGGAGTTAGAGCCGAATATGCCCTAAACTTAATCGAAAAATGGTTTTTCGGGGGCGAAAATTCAAAACAACCCGCAAACCACCGTGTAGTTCTCATGGACAGTTTCCCCATGACAAATAGGACTTGTGAAAAATAACAGAATGTAATTCGGACCCGTAGATTGGGAGTTGGAGCCGAAAATGCCTTAAGCTTAACCGAAAAAGGGCGTTAAGGGAGCGAAAAAGTGAAATTGCCCCGGAACCACCGTACGGATGTCACGGCCACCTTCCCTATGAGAAATAGGACCTGTGACAACAGACGGAATGTAATTAGCACACGTACTTTGGGAGTTAGAGCCGAAAATGCATTAAACTTAATCGAAAAAGGGCGTTAAGGGGGCCAAAATGCGAATCAGCCCCCGAACAACCGTACAAATGTCACGGCCATCCCGTGACAAATAGGACCTGTGACAATAGACAGAATGTAATCAGCACGTGTAGGTTGGGAGTTAGAGCCAAAAACGTCTTAAACTTAACCGAAAAAGGGCGTTAAGAGAGCGAAAAAATGAAACAGCCCCGGAACCACCGTACGGATGTCACGGCCACCTTCCCCGTGACAAATAGGACCTGTGACAATAGGTGGAATGTAATTAACATGTGTAGGTTGGGAGTTAGAGTCAAAAATGCCTTCAGCTTACCCAAAAAGGGCGTTAAGGGAGCGAAAAAGCGAAAAAGCGAAACAGCCCCAGAACCACCGTACGGATGTCAGATGTGAGAACAGACAGAATGTAATTAGCATGTGTAGGTTGGGAGTTAGAGCCGAAAACGCCTTAAACTTAACCGAAAAAGGGCATTAAGGGGGCAAAAATGAGAATCAGCCCCCGAACCACCGTACGGATGTCACGACCACCTTCCCCATGATAAATAGGAATTGTGACAACAGACGGAATGTAATTATCATGGGTAAACGCCTTAAACTTAATCAAAAAGGGCGTTAAGGGGGCGAAAATACGAATCAGTCCCCCGAACCACAGTATGGATGTCACGACCACCTTTCCCGTGAAAAATAGGACCTGTGACAATAGACGGAATGTAATTAGCACGTGTAGGTTGAGAGTTAGAGCCAAAAATGCCTTCAGCTTAACCGAAAAAGGACGTTAAGGGAGTGAAAAAGCGAAACAGCCCCCGATCCACCGTACGGATGTCACGGCCACCTTCCTCGTGAAAAATGGGACTTGTGACAACAAAAGGAATGTAATTAGCACGTGTTGGTTGGGAGTTAGAGCCGAAAACGCCTTAAACTTAATCGAAAAAGGGCGTTAAGGGGGCGAAAATGCGAAACAGCTTCCGAACCAGCGTACAAATGTCACAGCCACCTTCCCCGTGGCAAATAGGACCTGTGACAGTAGACGGAATGTAATTAGCACGTTTAGGTTGGGAGTTAGAGCCGAAAACCCTTTAAGCTTAACCGAAAAAGGGCGTTAAGGGAGCAAAAATGCGAAACAATTTCTGAACTAGCATACAGATGTCACAGACACCTTCCCTGTTGCAAATAAGACATGTGACAACAGATGGAATGTAATTAGCACGTGTAGGTTGGGAGTTAGAGACAAAAACGCCTTAAACTTAACCGAAAAAGGGCGTTAAAGGGGCGAAAATGCGAAATAGCTTCCGAACTAGCATACAAATGTCACGGCCACCTTTCCCATGGCAAATAGGACCTGTGACAGCAGACGGAATGTAATTAGCACATTTAGGTTGGGAGTTAAAGCCGAAAACGCCTTAAACTTAACCGAAAAATGGCGTTAAAGGGGCGAAAATGTGAATCAGCCCCCGAACCACTGTACGGATGTCACGACCACCTTCTCTGTGACAAATAGGACATGTGACAACAGATAGAATGTAATTAGCACGTGTAGGTTGAGAGTTAGAGCAAAAAACGCCTTAAATTTAACCGAAAATGGGCGTTAAGGGAGCGAAAAAACGAAACAGTCCCGGAACCACCGTAGGGATGTCACAGCCAGCTTCCCCGTGACATATAGGACTTGTGACAATAGACGGAATGCCATTAGCACACGTAGTTTGGGAGTTAGAGTCGGAAATGACTTAGAGTTATTCGAAAAAGGGAGAGTTTGACATTCAATAAATGTTCAACATTTTCATTGTAAATGATGCCATTGTTTCATTTTACACGGTGGTTATTTGGGTGGTAAACGTATTAAGAAAGCATGATATGGTTATGGAGATAACTCCATAGATTACTTAATCATTTTACTTTGATTAGGAAAATGAGAATGAAGAAGAGTTAAAATAAATATACCACCAAAACATTCTACTCATAAAAATTTATTTTATGAAGAGTTATGCTCTTAAAAATTGTATTATTTGTAAATTGAAATCAAGTTTCAAAATAAATCTTTCATGATACATACATATGATTGTATTTCGAAAAAATATTTTTTATAGATTGTTCTACCTTAAATGCATGTTATTACAACATTTTTCTTATGTTTTTCTGAATTGATATTTTGTAATGGATGCAATTGTTTTTTTATTTTTTTGTAGATGGCTTTTGGCGTGGACTTGTGGATAGTCTACATTTTTGTTTATGAAGGACACTTGACACTTTTGTATAATCCTGCTAACTGTGTCTTTCTCTGCTTTTGTGAAAGTATTTTTTGTATACGGAGGGTTTTGATTTTTGTATGATTCTATATTTTGTATGGAATTATTATTTTAGTTTGGACAATAGTTGGTTTGTATGGACTTTGACATTTAAAAGTTATTCATTTTTTGTATACGGATGCAGATTGTGAAATGATTGATAGTGTACGTATTATTTTGTTTACAAACGTATTACAGGTTGCATGGAATATAGACAGGCTGTGGAGAAATTATAATTTTGTGATAAAACATAAGATCATGTTTTTGGTGACTAAATATTTAGCTACAAAACTTTTGGTTAACCAAAAGTTTTGTAGCAAAAAAAAAAAAAAAAATCAAACATTTGGCAACTAAAAGTTTTGTAGCAAAAAAAAAATCAAATATTTAGTGACTAAAATATTTCGTAGCTAAAAACAAAAGCTGAAGAGTAAAAAAACTTTTGCCTACTAAAAATTTAGTAGCAAAAAACATAACATTTTTGCCGACTAAAATATTAGTAGCCAAAACACAAGCTATTTGCCGACTAAAATTTTAGTAGCAAAAAACATAACACTTTAGGCGACTAAATCTTTAGTAGCCAAAAACATAACATTTTTGCCGACTAAAATATTAGTAGCCAAAATACAAACTATTTGCTGACTAAAATTTTAGTAGCCAAAAACATAACACTTTAGGCAACTAAACCTTTAGTAGCCGAAAATGTTCTATTTAAATTTATTTCTAACCTTTTGGCGACTAAAAATTTAGTCAGCAATTGAATACATTTGGCTGCTAAAATAATTTTAATCGCCAATTACCTTTCCCGACAATTCTTCAGCGACTAATGCTGCGATCAAATAATTTAGTCGCTAAAAGCCATTGGTGACTAAAAATTGACTTTTGGCGACTAAAAATTTAGTCGTCAAAAGTGAAAATTCTTGTAGTGTTTCTTGATTATTTTTTATTATTTTACCAAATCAATTTTTAAAATTTTTCAAAATATAAATTCTGAAAGCTCAACCAAACAAATTCCATTAATTTTGGTAAGGTTGTTTGGGTTGATATATTAGAACTACTAGTTGATTGGTTATATTAAGGATAATTTATCCACAAATTTAATATTAAGAACTATGATCCGTTTATTCCTATGAAATTTCTTGTAAACCAATTAGTCCCATTAATTTTGATAAGGTAGATTTAATATATTCTCTTGGGTGGAATTTTACGTTTCTGACTGTGATAACCCTCGCCACTGATTAGTGCTAATCTAGGATTAAGCATGTTAACTGACTGATTGACTGAATTCCTGAACTGATTGATTGAGTGTATTAGTTTAAATGCATGTCTATCTGTTTGACTGCTAAATTATCTGTTCATGTTTTATGTCTAAAGTGCAAATTGAAAGCCTTATCGGCGGCCGAATCTGAAATTGATTAATGTTTTATGCTAGTTAGAATTTATGTGATTTTATGGTATGTTTAATTGAAATATGTTTTGGTATGATTAAATTAGATTAAATAAGGTTAATTTACAAGAGTTGGACTTAATCACTAAATTGCCATGCTTATTGGGCCACTTTCTCCAACACCTTGAGGCTTGAATACACTTAGACATACCTCTTGCTCAGCCATTTTGAGAGACAAACCAATTGAGAGAGAGAGAGAGTAGGAGGATAGGCTTGAATTCATCAAACTTAACTTCGAGACTTGAAGAAATTGAAGGTTGATTGCATAATTGAGCTCTCATTCTTGTAATTGAGGAACCTAGGTATGGAATTTATCCTCTTAATTGTGAGTTAAGTTAGTTCTTGCATGGTTCTTGGAAGATTAGAGTTTTAAAGTCAAGAATTGGTTTAAGATTGTTGAATTGAAGCTTGTATCATGCATGCATGTGCATATCTTGAGATTTAGAGTTGTTTTCATGGAAATTATTGCATGCATGTTCATATTTTTGGTCTTGATCCATGAACTCACCATGTTTTGAAGTTAAACATTGCATTTGATCTTGTTTTGTAGCATTGGTGTTCATAGCAACCCATGCATATGTTGAATTTGCATTGTTCATCATGTTCTTGAAACTTATTTGAAAATTGTGTTTAATTGAACGACCTTTGGGCTTTGATTTCTCAAATTGATCTTTGAAACATGTCATATTATGAGTTTGCAAGTATTTTCCAGAAAATTAGCCTAAGAGGATCGAATTTGATGCCTTAAAGTTGAGTTTTGAGCTTGAGATTCAAATCTGGAAATTCCAGATTTTGGACCCACGCTCGAGCGAGGAACTCCACGCTCGAGCGTACACTCTGAATACATGCATTCCGCTCGAGCGTAGAAAGTGACGCTCGAGCGTGAAATGCGTGTATCCAGTACTTTGCATATGTTTACAGTCCGCTCGAGCGAGAGAGTTCATGCTCGAGCGAGGACTTGTGTCTCACGTTCGAGCGTGGATCGAGCGCCCGTCGAGCGTGATTTTTGTGCATCCAGTATTTTTACTGTAGCTTACAGTTCGCTCGAGTGACGGAAGTCACGCTCGAGCGAAGCTCCTTTTTCTGTTTGTCCGCTCGAGCGTAGAAAGCCACGCTCGAGCGAGACCCCTGTTTTTTGAAAATTTTGAAAAGTGTTTAAAAGTGCATCTTTACATCCTCATTTCATCCTAGGCATTCTTAGACCTATCTTAAGACATCTTAATGGGGATATTGATGTAGAACCACACCGAGACAAATTAGGGAAGTTATTATTTCCCAACTGTGTAGCTTAGTGTGTGTTCGTTCTGTAACTGTGTAGGGTTGGCATCCGAGGACGCGTATTAGCTTATCTGTAGCCCCGAACTCTGTGAGTAACAATGTTGTAAAGATATGTTCAATCTTGAATATTTTCTTAATGATCAACTGTACTGCTTTCTGAAATGATATATCTTACTGAATGAATGCTTGTCCTATTTGCGAACTGTATTCGTGGCATCCGTAACAATTTACTATTACTGTACTGTACTGCTACTGTCACAGAGATCTCTGTCGGTTCCCATGTTGGAACCACTACTGTTTACTATTATGATGACCATCAATTGACTGCTCGGTCTGATAAGACCTACTGTACTACTTGCTATTCGATGTACCACTTATGACTGCTATGATTGAATAACTAATATACTGTTCAAATGACTATTTTAAATACTGAAAGGACATTCATTCTTAACCTCTTTACACATATGTTATTCACTGGGCTTTAGCTTACTGTTTGTATATTTATATAGGTGTCCAGGCACTGGATCGGAGCTAGGGGTGTGGGGTTTAAACTCCCTTTTTGTCAAGCCAACCTTGTGCCTCATTTCGAGGTTCCAGATCTGTTCAAGCTAAGGCTGCTTCTGGGGTGTCTCAGATTCACCCTATCCGTCTCTGTTATGTATAGACTGTTACTGTACTGTTATGGTAGGGACTTAGTCCCTGTCCTGGATGATTGTATATAATGTGCATACTGTTTTGGTACCAAATGTATATATGTTATGAAAAGTCTTTTTGCATACAGACTGTCACAGCTCATTGGACATCTTTTAAGTACTGTTTTGGCTTCCGCCAGCCTCTGTACTCTGAATTACTGTCTTACTGTTAAGCAAGCCTTCGGTAATCTCGGATTACTGGCCGGTTACGGTGCTAAACCCATAGGGACGGGTTTGGGTCGTGACACTGACCTCGTTCTATACAGATTTAGAGTGATTTTTCTACTTATGAAGAAAGTTTGGGAACACAAATCAATATATTTTGGGATTTCTTTGAGGGAATCACGAGATTGATTAAAGTGGGTTCCCGTTGGGGGTCAGATGTGAATATATACATTAAGGGGTGAAACATGGCAATGTGGATTTTCTGATGGTGTGGTTTTCTTGGGTAAATGGTGTTTCAACAACGCTAAATTTAGTGTCACAGTGTTGTTTGGGTCATTCAAAATGACATCAAGTGCGTTTCTCATTGTATATGTGTGTAAAGAGTGGATTATGCTCATTCTTCACAAACATCCACATTGTATCCTTAACTAATAATAATATCCTTAATCTTCAAATTATTTTAAGACACATATTGCAGACCTTAAATTATATTTTGACCTTAACACATCAACCCAAAATCAAAAAAATCAATTAACATCAAACTCCTACGTTGCAAAATATATGTCCATATTTTCAATTAATGTACTCGAATCATGAAGGCCTCAATTTATAAAAATAATAGATTTCCAACATATACGTTATGAATGACAATAAAAATACACATCTATATATGGCCCACTTTTTTTGTTTCAAAAAACAAAATATTTTGCAAATCAGTATTGTAAAGTTATATCCACACCCAAAGTCAAACTCATGTACCTACAATAATCACATTGAACATAAATCGACAGATTATCCTAACCCTCATTCACCATATGCACTTGAATACCTTGCAAACAGAGTGAAAGCCACATTCACATTATACACAAGGGTGGATATGAAGAATCACGTTAGGTTTCCCAAAAAAAAAAAAAAATTGAAATTGGTGTTCAAGTAGCTAACTTCTAACTGAACCCAACATTATTGAAAACCCTAGCACAATGGTGGTATGTAATTATCAACAAAACACATAAACAATACTTACTTTTCTGATCCATCGTGTGTGTCTACGTTTCGGCCGATGTATCGAATTCAACAGATGCCAAGAAGCTGCGATCTCAATCAGAGATGAATGTAGCTATGGCATTGTTTGGGAAGCAAAGATTGGGGTAAAAATAACCAACATGGTGAAAATAGCCAATAAGCACATACAAACAAAAATCCATCACATGGCTTTGTAGGACTATGAGGAAAGGTTGTCAAATGATTCAATAGTTGTCGCTTGCATTTCTATGAAATAGTACTGTCACGTCACCCTGTTCTATGCTTGGGAATATCATTGTTATAGGGGCATTTTAGTTATTTATCATCCCAACATCATTTCAAACACATTTTTCAATACAAAAAAAACCCCCCATCTTTTCAAATACAAAAACTAAAATATCCAAATAGTCAAAAAGTTAACAAAGTAACCTATTTCCAAACAGAGCTTATGTGTGCTTGACCAAATGTGGTAATCGAAATAAGGAACCATAAAAATGGAGTATTGGGTTTTGAAATTTG